CCTGCCTGTTTGGTCCAGGCGTTGGTGTGCGCTGAAGGAAACGGATTTTTAGCTGCTTCTTGGCATGCGACAAAGCCAGCGTTGACCAAGGAAATCCCTGGAAGTTGTTGGCTTTGCCTAAGCAGAATCAAAATGCAGGTGTGAAGGGCATGTGCCACCAGGCAGCGTGGGGAGATGGCCCTGTCCAGGCCTGGGAAGGCAGAATTGGGGCCCAAATCTGCACACCCAGCTGCTGAGAAATTGCTGAAATTGGGTAATGATGTCGTTTTTTCCCCCCTCCACCCCCCATTTTCTTGCCTTTCTCTGACCTGGGTCTGCTGTGCTATGGTGTGAGCAGGAGCTCAGCTGGGGTCAAGACCTGCATCTTGGGGCTGGATTTGAGGGAGAGGGAAGAGGGTGGAAAGCTCAGATGGGACAGAGCTGGATCCTGATTTTGTAAGGTGATGCTGTGGGGAGAGGGGCAAGGTTAGCTTTCAATTTTTTTTTCTCTTTATAGAGGCCAAAAAAAAACCCCCCATGGGAGTCATCTTTATAGTAAGAGCTTTTTATGTCCTTGTGGGAAGAAGGTAACTCATCCTTGTGGCTGGATGGCCAAGGAGAAATAGCATTCCCGGCTCTGGGCTCCCTTGCGGTGGCTTCCGCGTGCCAGGGACTCCCCTGTCCGGCAGTGTCACCTGCGCCTCGGCAGCGGGAGCTGACGAGAGAGTGAGAGTTATAAAGGACCAGAAAACAAAAGTCTACTTTGTACAAACATAGAGGTTTAAAATGTGGTTTAGTTCCCCGAAGGAATGAAAACAAGACCTTTTAGATCGAGGATTTTCTCATTATTTTCTTTCTGCTGAATGGAATGGAGACAAAACATTTGGGTTTGGATAGAAAAGGCTCCCCCTCCCACCAGTTTGCCTCTCTCCATCTCTCTGGAGGCAGCAAATGGCTCACGCTGGACCTCAGATTCTTTTCCACCAAATATTGCCGGAACTAATACGCATCTCTGTGGACTGTTTGGGCAGAAAATGTGAAGTTCTTTCCACGCAGCCAGGAGGAACCATGTCCTGAGTCCTAGCCCCAAAGAACTGGGATGAGAAACTTCATTTCCAGCCAGCAAAGATGCTGCTGCTTAAATCCAGCGCCACTGAAAACCTCCTGGGGCTGGCTCCTTCTTTAGGTAGTTACGGTGCAAACTTTGGGTGCCAGCAGCTTACGGCAGAGATGGGGGTCCCGGTTTGGTGGCTGCGCTCTGGGGTCTGCAGGATCCCACCTACTGTGAGACCTCGAGCAAAGGGGTTGTCATCACCTGCGAGGAGAGGACACCTCTCCTGTTGGGAGAGCTATGTTGGAGCTGCTGATACCAATGCATAGTGTAACTTGTTTTTTTGTTTTTTTTTTTTGCTTTTCTTTGAATAAGGGCAAAGCCAGCCTTGTTTTTTTTCCAGCCAGCTTAAAAGCACTTTTTGAGTGTAACTTTTGGCTCTTTGAGCCTTTGAGAGAGTATTGAGTTGCAAAAGGTGGTGGCTGCCAGTTCCTATATAAAAACACTGCATTAGTCAAAAACCCCTTTGGAAGCGCCCCTGATTAATATATCAGCTCCTAGGAGAGCGCGCTGACCTAGATTTCGCTTTAGCTGTTTAGGTGGAGGCTCAACTACAATGTGGCTTTTATCTGTTCGCAGAATGGATTTGGAGGATGTGGAGTCTACCGAGAGCTTTTATTTCCTTTTAAAACCATTGTGCTCAAACATGCTACCATATGTGGGGTTTTTTTTTCTTTTTTTAATCTTGCTCGTGGATCGTTTTGGGGGTTTAGGAGGTCGGTGGTGTTAAGAAGCTTATCAGCTGCATAAGAATGGTTGGGGAATCCATTAATTTGCACGTGTTTCGTGGCATAACTTGATTATCAGACACCTGAAAGACACTGGAGGTAGGGGCTGTAGCAGGTATTTGCTGGCACGAGCAGTTTTTCTCTGGTCTCTTTGAAGTTCGGATGTGTTAAAAGTATGATCATAACACTCCCAGGCAGTCGTTTCTTATCTGACTTATTTTTGCCGGGGGAATGTAATGCAATGTGAAAGGCGTTTATATGGAATTTCTGGAATAGCATTTTACAGGGTGGGAAAAGCAGGATGTCTGTGAAAGAGTCCAGCCTGTGAACTGGCGGCAAGGAGAGGAGCTGAGACGCGGGGCTGCTTTGCAGTTGCAACTCTGGTGCCGCAGAATCTCACGGCGCTTTCGGAGCGTTGGAGGGGTTGGCTTCCCAATGCTGCTGGCCTCCCCATCCTTAAACAGAGATTAGAAATCAGGCGAGTTATTGCGATCTTGTGGATCTGAACCATCTCGGGGTCAAGAGGGGTATCCCTGGCTGCTGAACGCAGGAGGGTTTCCTTAGCTTGACTCCTGTAACCTCTGCGGCTGCCATCTTGCCTTCCCGAAAGGGCTTTCCTCGATGTCCGCATCCTGAGCGGCACCTGAACCTGGGGAATGGAGCAGAAAGGAATGTGCTGCTCGTTGGGCTTGGCCCCAGTTCAGATGTTGGTCTGTGTGTGTGCGCCGATGATAGCACCGCACCTTATTGCTGCTGGCCGAGTGACGCCGAGGAGGAGGAAATGGTTAGGGTGGTTGGTTTGGTATTTCTTGCTGTAGTTCAATTAGAAGATTCCACTACCCGCCTTTGATCTACCATGTGTATGCCCTCTGCCATTGAGCCAGCGTATAAATTCTTTCTTTGAATAGCAATATTTACAATGAAGCCTTACTCATTTGGGTAAAGGACAGTCCAAGCACATTTCTGAAGTCTTGACTTCATTAGCACGGTCCTGCAGTTCATCAAACCCCATAAATATTTATCTTTTCAGCATTCTTTGTATGATTTCAAAACACTGGCCGTATTTTAATGGGACACTTCATGTTGTTTATTGTGCAATAGCTTTGCCATAGATACGCTGACAAAGAACTCTCTGATGGCCATAATGAATGGGGAGGCCCGTTCTCTTCCAGGCATGTTTATGGACCGGGTAAAAGCTGCCTTTGCATCAGCACTCCCCGAGTGGGTGGGGAGCCCAGGCCAGTTGGGGATTCCCCTGCGAACGTTATGAGTCAAAAGGATTTGCAGCTCTGCCAACCCTGCACACTTAGAAACCCTGAGTCTGTTGCTCCAAATCATGAAATTTATAATAAATAAATACATGTAGGGGTATTCCAGCTTGCTTTCTGACAGCCGTGGTTCCGGGTAAAATCAATGCCCGTGTTCTGGTTTTCTCTGCAGCTGCAGTGGCTTGGGACTTATTATTTAATTTTAATTTTAATGGCATAGCAGAAATTTTTGCTGACGTGCAAGGCTTTGGGTGTTGAGATGCATCAAGTGTTTGGAGACCTGTGGGTAAAACAACACGAGCTGGCAGTGTGGGCTTTGGGGAGCAGCACTGGGATAAGCACACCTTGTCCTGGTGCCGAGCAGCTCTTTTCCTGGGACTGGAGGCTGCCTCTTGTGTCTGCTCACTTTAGAGGCAAGAAAAGCCAGGTCTTGTCTCAAAGGGTTAGGAGCTTGCATGGCTTTTAGTGGCATTTGGATTTTGAACCTTGTTAACCTCTAATGTTAAGCCAGTTATGCTGATGGAGGAAGCTGGTAATGGAAATCCCAGCCCTGTCCCTAAAGCTTTAGGTTTAAGTATTTTGTGAGGGTTTTCTAAATGCTGAGATGATTAAAACAAAATTTAAAAAAAACCCTAGTCTTTCATGAAGTTTTTTGCAAACCTATATGGAGCAGATGGGATGCATGGTGGTTGCTAATGTTTGTGCTACTGAGAAAATGCCTGATAGGCTTCAAACTGACACAAAGGAACAAGCTGCTGAAGAAGCCTCTTTATGAACCTTCTGCATTGCAAGGGGTTTTTTTAAGACTATTTTGGATATTTCTTCCAAGCATTTTATGTTTAGGACAAAATATCTTTGGAGGGTAGAAGGTGGCTGAATAACAAATATTCTATATATATTATATATATATAATATATATATATATAACTCTATATATATTATATATATATAATATATATATATAACTCTATATATATTATAACAAATATTGTAAGTTCTTTTACAGGACAGAAAAACGTTCATGGTGTAAAGAAAACCCAAACCCAAGGTGTCTACTTCTTAATGAATAAGTGTGCTTAATAAGTGGTGAAAGTTTTATCGAGTTGCATGATCTTTATTTTGTTCAATTATGGAAGATCTTTACATTTTGAAAAAGTATTGATGACTCTTCCCTCTCTTTTTCCAGGCAGGATTATTGATTCAACACACTGATCCTCTCCTGTGTGAATTCATCTCCCGAACATCTGCACCAGGTACTTCTTTTCTTTCACTGCATGTTTCTGCTGTCTGTGCTATCTTTCCATTTAAAGCTGCTTCAGAGAGGTCTTTATGCTCCAATGATACTGTGTTTGGATTTTAATCTGCCCTTCAGGAGATTGGGCTCCGTATTTTGCCCCCCTCCTGCTGGCATCCCAAATTTTTTTTTTAATTGCAAGAAGATGGATTGCTCATGGAAATGGGGGGGGTGATGGGGCTCTTGGAAACGGACTGGATATTGTTGGTGTTCAGAGGGAATCGAATGGTACGTGGAAGCCTTGCAAAAACCAGAATGTTTCTTTCCAGTCGCTTAAGGAGCACGCGATTAGGGCGAGATAAGGACCTCGGTGTCCGGGCTCGTTTCGGTTGCACTCTCACAACCGTGAGTACTCCGCCTGTGAAAGGGGATCGACTTCCCAGCTGTTTCTTATCACAGATGGAGCATGTCAGGAGGAAAAGCCCCATGTGTGACCTGAGACATCCCGCATTTCTGAAGTGTCTGAAATACTTGAATATTTTTGTCAGACTGATCCCCAGCCCCTTTTCATTGCGTTGAAGTTATGGCATGCTCTGATGACCGCAGAGCCCAAGGCAATGCTGAGTTCTGGCGATTAACGTGTGTGAACTGCTTCACCCATTTACGTGATAGCTTTCATATGTTTTCTTATTGGTATTTACTACTATACGTTACCTCTATTTCCGCTTGGAAATGAGCATCCGGCTGCAAAAGTAGAGAGGGGAGAAGAAAGTGAGTCAAATCTGCCCTCTCGCCCTGCACAGGGAAAATGATGTAGTGCCTAGGCACTGAGCCATTCCCCGTCACACGGCTGGGATCATCCTCCGTGAATATTTTTTCCATCTAGAATTCGCTGATCTGCTCTGGTATTCTTTGACCACACTTCTTTGTTTATTCCCCAACCGCTTCAGATGAGCAAAAATTGCATTGGCAAGAACACTTGTGGGAAAGCAACATCGTGTTGCATACTTGTGCGAATAAATATTCACAAGAGAATCCACGTCGAAAGCACTCGCACGGCCACTTGCGAATTCTCTTCCGATTAGTCACCAAAGAGACTTGTTGAATGTTTATAGCTGTTTGGTGGGCAACTGGGAAGACTTGTCATTTGTCTAAGCCTTTGGTCGCCCAGTCTGGGATGGGAATGAAAGCATCTAGCCTGGGTTGATTGAGTGGCACCGGTAGCCCAGGCTCGTAGCGACTCGTTTCTGTCTGTAGCAACTCCAGGTTGCCTGTTTAGGCTATTCATGAGAGCTAAAGGCTGGAGGAATTTTGGGGAAGAATCAAGAGTCTGTGTATAGATTGTTAGGACTTAAACCAAGAGCTGCATTTGCCGGATAAATGGACCGAGCGTTATTTGACCAATGTTAGGGAAACGCGAAGGCTGTATTTACCTTTTGGTTTTGAGCGTTCTTGAAGCAATTACCAGTTAATGCCTGTGCTTCTGGAGAGCTGTTGCTGAATGATGATGGTCTCCTGGGAGTCCCAAATTCTCTGCTCTGAGTGCTTTGCACCGATGGATACTTTTATCTGGTTTTCTGCTTCTCTCCTTGCAAAGCACTGGGAAAAGCAGCTGTTGCCTTTGATACTTGGATAGATTGGGCTCCACAACTGAATAAACTATTGCTACTTGATTGCTTGTGCTGTTGCCCTGTGAGTTTTCCCATAGTGGAGACTAAAGCACTAACAAACTGTTCCAGTTGTGGTTCTGTAGACAAGTGTGGGGTTTGGGGGACGCTTTAAACGGAGGTCAACTGTCGAACGAAAGTTGCCTTTTCCTTTAAGGATTTGGTTGACAAAGGTAGCTGAAATAAAGTTGGATGGGTTTTTTTCTTCAGATACACATCCAACCCTTCAAAAGCAATTAGTATTTTACCACATAACGTGCACACACCAAATGGATTAAGAATTGGCTGATACATCTGAAAAAACAGTCAGCATCGGGGAGCCCTCGTGAAATAAGAGAGGTTGTGAGCCCGGCTTTGTGGAGCTCAGTGCGCTCTTATTCCGTCGTCTCATCAGCGACCTAAAGTCATGGTAAAATTACTGCTGATGAAGCTTTTGCGTCGCTCGCGCTTTGGCTGGGAAGTGCGCAGCGGTGACTAAAGCAGCAATGCCGTGCGGTCTGGAAAGCTTGGTAAGCTCAGCTCATGGAAATAAAACAGGCTTTGATGCAGACATGGCTCCGCAGCTGGGAAGGAGGCAGGCAAGCTGTGCCGACGGCGCTGCCGCCTGTGCTGCAGAAATAAATGCCTTTGTGAAGGGCAGAATGAGCTCCCAGTGTGCCAGGCTGGCAAAAATAAAAAAAGGCTAGCGTGGTGCTGGGATGTGTATGCAGGAGAGCCGTGTGTTACCCCACCAAACCGTGTGGGTTTGGGTTTTTTTGGTTTGGTTTTTTTTTCCTCTCTTCAAAAGGATGCCAACAAATGGAAGTCAACGTGGAAAAGGGCTAGAAAAATGATTTGGGAGCTGGGGGAAGCAAGATATTTAAAAGCTCTTAATCTACTGAACTTTTATACATATAGAAAGGGACTTGATATTTGTGCACTGGGATCGTTTTGAGAGAGACTTTGGAAACAAAAGGAAAAGATATAGCGCGAATCCTAGCTGGAAGCTAAAACCCAACCCGTTCGCTCTTGGATACAAAGCACGTATTTCTGAGTGTGAATGCCACAGAGGATTTGCTGTCTCCTGGTGCTTGTCAAATCAAGCTTGTGTGCATGCGAGGGGTGCTCTTGCCAGGACCCAAATGAAGCTTTAATTGTAGGGCTTTAGCTCTTGGGCTTTATACAGCCGGGTGAGTGGGTGAAATGTAATGGTTGGGGTGATGCAGGAGGTCAGAACAGATGATATCATGGTCCCTTCAGGACTCAAAGCTTTATGAATAAATGCATTTGAAAATCCTGTTGTATTCTAGTGGAAAGGACTGGCGTTCCTTGAGATTAAATGGAGAGATTGAGACTTGCAACTGTGGTGATGTCCTTGTTGGCTGGAACAAGCAGCGTGGGCTCAGCCCACCTTGTCTCCTTGGTACGCTCATCAGAGGAGCTGAAGCACTTGGGGTAATGCTCGTTACCAGCTCTATAGCCTTGGAGGTTTTGTCTCATTGGTGATCACAGAAAATAATACTTAGATGAAAGACGGGTCAAGTAAAACAGTTGTTGGGTATCTTTACGTGTCTTTACAGAATGAATTTTTGAAATTGAGGGCAGTTTTATGCCTTGTTCCAGGAGCTCTAAAGCCCAGGCAAATGGGTTTTGTCAAGGCAAGGGAAACTCGGGGCATGTTTTTCCTTAATTCTGTTTCTGTCTGATTCTTGAGGCATCTCTGTAGATACCGTTTCATTTGTCACGTTCCCAGTCTTCCATCAGAAGAGAGTTCTGATGAGGCAGAGAGCAATAACAAATCCCCCACCCACCAACCCCATTGAGTCATTTACCAAAATAAATGCTTCATTTGGGGGAAGCAAATATTTTAGGCTTTCTGTAGCAAACCCAGGAAAAAATATTTTCAGGTTAGATACGTGACTCATGATGATTTCTTGTTCTGATCCTGTGCTACGCTAAGTTGTGATGAAGCTGGGGGACTGATCCCAGTGATGCTCTGCTCCCAGGAGCCCCTAAAAAGAGCAGAGCATTTTTGCAGGCTGCAATGTGCCCATCTCTGCCTTTCAGTCAAATTCCATTTAGCTTCTATTATCGTAGACTTGAGTAAGCAAGTTTAATTATCTCCATTGTGTTAAATGGTTTCCAGACCAGAGGTAAGTGCCTCTAAGCAATAGGTAAAATAATGTTATCCATCTGCATCCCTTTGGAATATGGACGAAGGATGCCGTGTATTTGTTGCTGCGTTATTACCTCTGTAGCTCATGTGGCCTGGAGGCAGCGGGCTCCGAGTCCGAGGCTCGTGATTAGGGGGTTTGGTGATGTGTTCGATCTCTTGTTGTTGTTGTCTGGCTGCAGCTGGAGAGGAAATACCTTCGTGTTGTCAGCTGAAATGTAAACACAACGTCCATCATCGATCAGGAGTCATTGAGGTTCATCTGCTCTTGGGTTCTCTCATAACCACGGGAGAAGCAGATTAACGTGAAAAATCCTGGTGCGTGCATGTGGTTTTGTGCATTTAAAGCTAACCAGATGTTTGAAACGTCTTTTTGAAATACAGATGATGATATAATGACTCCTTAGTAATAGAGAGCATTGGCAAGGGAGACATGAATATCCCCTCAGTGTGGCATGAGGAGATGAACTCCTGATTTGTAGGCTTGGATGAGTTCAGGAAGTTCACAGGCTACCTAAGGACAAAAGGTTTTTGTTCCAGGAGTGTGCTCTGTCCCGGGTAACATGCAACACTGCTGAACTGAGAACATCTTCAGGTTATTTCATTTAAGAAAAGGCTCCATTTGATGATCGACTTGGCACTTGCCAGATGCCTCTAATCCAGAGGCTTTCTACAGCGTGCATTCCACCGTGAGGTCCCTTTGGTGGTACGTGGGTCATCGGGCTGTGCTGAGCTGGCTGTGGTCACCAGGGTGGCGGGGCCGGGCTGTGCCCCCTGCCATGGCTGGGTGGCCACGGGGTTGGGGCGCCCAATGCCAACCGTGCCACCCTTCATCTGATGTGGCACTCGCTTGATCCTCTAGCACAGAAAGAAGAAAAAGCACACGAAAACCAGACAGGATGACTAGACTGGTATGTTCTTTGGCCAGTTACCTAAAGATTTTGGAAGCAAAAATGTGAATGGGAGGGAAATAAAATGCTCTGGGGTGCAGGCAATCTGATATGGAGGCATTGGTTCCTCGGTAGGAACATTATTGTCTTCAGAGAAGCTGTGCGTACGTTTCCTTTTATACCAAATGAACTGATAGCGGAATGTGGCATCTGTCAACGCGTGCTGCAAGAGAAATACAGAAGCCTAAAGCCGGGACTTGACAGGAGGTGGATGATGGTTTTAAATAATAAAATACCCTTTTCTGTTTAA